GGACCCGAGGCCTGCACGGGAGGGAAATCAGCTAATTAAAACACAGGCACGGGCACGACGGTGCAGGGTAACCTGAGGTGCCACACGGCTTTTTGTCCAAATAAGGCGCTTAAGCCTCTGGAGATGCAATAAAACGACTCGGGGCTTTTTAGATCATTTAATATTTAATCGCCGTATTAAACCTGGAAAAGTAGTAGCTTACTTTTTGGGGTTTTTTTCCTTCTTTTTTCTTTTTTTAAACAAGCTGGCCACTCCCTCCCCTCACTGACTTCTCTATCTGCGAAAGCGACTGGTAAAGCCAGCGCCAGGCTCGCCCCCGCGTCCCCGCCCTGCCCTCACCGGGAGCGATCCGGGCAGAAGTTGTCGCCGTCCGGGACACTTGCAGGTTTTAAACGGAACTAAAACCAACAACATCGACGGAGACAGCAACTTAGCTCAGGATCAGCTTTCTGTCCCTTTGCAAACACACGTAGTGCCAGCCCATAAGCCCGGGCGCCCACTTCTTTTAGCAATTTCCCTTCCTAGGTGGTTACAGGAGGGACATGAGGGAGGAATTTAGTTTTTTTTTTTTCTTTTTTTTTTTGTGTGATATTACTGGTAAGCACGGCTGCTTTTTCTTCCCCCCCACCCCCTCTGCACGGACTGGGCACAGCCACTCAAGGGCTGCAGCATCAGCTGAAGCATCAGCTAAAGCACCTGTACGGGGAAGCCCCCGGGAGCCCTCGGGGGGCGAAAGCGGCAGCGGGGTCGCAGCGCGGCGGTCCCAGCAGGGGCTTGAAGCCACTTTACTCCCCCGCGCTGGAGCCCCAGCAGTTTCCGTGCGACTGGGAAAGTTTTATTCCTTGCCTCCATAAAGGAAAGACCAATTGGAGCCCTGGAAATCACACAGCCCATAAATATGATAGACCCTGGCAAGATGAACTCTCTCCCTGCTTCAAAAAGATATCGCAAAAAAAAAAAAAAAAAAAAAAAGTGAACAAGGAGAGAAAATGACCTACAGGAATATAGACTTTTCTCTCCTTTTCATCTAAAATGTTCGTGCGTCTTTATTTGAAAACGGAGTTAAAGCTCAGTGTGTGTTGATCGTGCGAGAAAATGATTGAGATATTTACATGAACAAAACTTTCCACCTACTGCATTTGGCGAAATAAGCAATAGCAATATTCCAGACTAGTAAAACACATTTCCAGAGTGCAATTCTCATCAGGAACGTGGTCACTTAGTGTAGATTTGCCGTAGTTTAGCAAACATTGCCCTCACATCCGAGCGTGCCTTTTTTTCGCTTAAAGTAATCTTCAGTATCCCGGTTTTGTGAAACAGTGTATTTGCCCCCAGATTTCCTCTGCCTTCTCCTCCACTCCCCGTCCTCCAAATGTAACTTGCATTATATTTTAAACAAAATAACAGTTAGTCGTCTGGCTCCTCTGTCTTATACCTGCGTTAGCTGTATGCAGTAGACTTCGGGGGGAACAAAAGGAAATAGAAAAGCTAACGCTAAAACAAGCAACAAGTTAATTCGGCAAGAACTTACTTTCCTTGCTGCCTTTGAAAAAATACCATTCGTATATGACTATCAGATTTATGCCTGAAGTGGCACGATAATCGTAACAGTGCTACACAGAACATTTTTTTCTCCCTCCTAATAAACGTCTACTTTGTCAGAATGGACGCCTTTGTGAAATGGATGTAAAAACGATATTGTCACAGAGGTAGGGAAAATAAAGTGGATGTTTACTGTATTTAGTATTCATTTACGTATAGTGGGAAATGATTAGGTATCTACTAATATAACCGTGGAGACCAACTGCCTAATTAGCGTTTACAGATTAAAATGCTAAACATAAAGACATATTCCGTATACAGTATGCTATATGTAAAACATATTCCTGCATAACATAGCAGTCAGCTGAAAATGTTAAGTTGACTGGGTTCCAGATATGTAGTAGCATTCTTGGCTAACGTGATTTGCTCTATGTTTTTCAAGCTTACCCATACTGTAGTTCATAGTTCTTATGACCATGTTGATAGCTGCGCTAGGATTATTGCACTAACCAATCTGGAGAAAATAGGAAAATATACATATTGCTTTTAAAGGCTTACAATAATAACGATAAACATGATAGGCACGCTGATCATTTATCCATACCTTTTACTATGAAGGCTTTGCTCTCAACCTTATTTATTGCTTTGAGCATAACAAAGCATTTCGGGTTCTGTAATACATTAGAACAATAATACAGAACTGTACATGCAAACCAAGATAGGTTTAAAATAGAGGTATTTTCTTTCCCAGGTGCATAATTCCGATATTACCCAACGTGTTGTGCTTAGGGTTCACCTCACACGTACTGTAATGAAAGTTGCCAAATGAATGGAACAATCTATCTGTTGACTTGAGCTCAACGTAGACACATTACATATGATAGAAACCTAATGCTCCCACCAACGTTAAAATCATAGGGATATTTAGTTACAGTCCAGCTCCTTGAACATGTAGATTTTTATTTATAAGAATAATGTGCATGTAGCAACATAAAAAGGGGATTTACAAGTTAGAGTCTTTTAAAAAGACTGTGAAAACCTTAGCCCCGCTTTTATTAGACATGATATCATTCTGATTTGCGTGCTTGCCATCTCAATAGCGTTTCACATGTGCCAAAAAAAAAAAAAGAAAGATCCATATGCATTACATAGATTTTCTTTTACGCACATAAGGACTGGCAGTCTCTTAGTGGATAAGAGGGTGAATAATTGTGGTACACCAGAAAACAGTTCGTGCAGTTTGGCAGCTCTGTTTTTTTATTATTAGATTTTTTGACATTTGAACTTGTCTATTGTCTGAGGAGCTCAGTGCAGATTGCAGTAGGTCAACCTTAAGGCTGCTCTTTTTGGCATTGCACACAAACATGCACACGCTGTCTGTTCTCCCCTCGCCAATGCAGCAGCTATAGTTTTACTGTGCATTTTTTAAACGCACATACATTTATATTTATTTATTCCGCTTGGGGTTTTCATGGTCGTGTGGTTAGTTTGCACGTGTGTTCATTTTACACCGGTTCCTCCAACCTCTCTATTTTCCTGATGCTGGATACTTTTAAGCACTCAGCCGCTTTTACAGCAGTATAATTCCCGCATCCCGGTGTTTGATAAAAAGGGACTTCAGTAGCCCTGGGATTAAA